AAATAGGTGGGTACAGAATAGATAGGAGGATGTTAAGAACAGTATAGGAAATGGAGAAGCCAAAGAACTTATATGCATGATCCATGGACATGAACTAAGGAGGGGATTGCTGGATGGAATGGGGGTACCCAGTGGAGGGGGGCAAAGGGGGAAAATTGAGACAACTCTAATAATATAATCAATAAAATATATTTTTAAAACTATTAAATAGTAGAAAAAGTTATTCAGTGCAAAAGTAAGTCTCCCTCTAACCCTCACCTCACTCCCCCATTGTTCTCCCTAGAGATAAACTATGTTTATCCTTGAGAGTATCTTAATAGGACTGGGCTGTACACGTGCAAATTTTGATGCTATGATGGTTAATTTTATGTGGCTACTTACCCGCATACAGGATGCCTGCATAGCTAGTTAAACATTATTCCTGGGGAGTGTGTTTCCAGAAGAGATGAGCATTGAATTGGTGAACTAAGTAAAGTGGGTTGGCCCGCCCCAATGTGGGTGGGCCTCGCGCAGCCTGTTGAGGGCCTGACAAGAACACAAAGCTGGAGGGAGCGAGGATTTGCTCATTCTCTGCCTGCCTGTGAGCTGGAGCACTGACATCTGCCCTCCACACTCCTGGTTCTCAGGCCTTCACATCTTGACTGGAATTAGCACCATCGGACCTCTGGCTCTTAGCCTTTGAACTACACCACTGGCTCTCCTGGGTCCCCAGCCTGCACGTGTCAGATCATGGGACTCCTCAGCCTCCATAATTGTGTGAGCCAGTACTTCTAATAAAACTCTTTCTAAAAATAACCATCCGTCCAGCCATCCAAGCAGCTATCCTATTGGTTCTGGTTTTCTGGAGAACCCTACTACAGACACATATCACTTTAAAAACTTATTTTGAAATAATACTATTATTTACAGAGGGTTGTAAAGGTAGTATGGAGCTCCCTTATCTCCTTCATGCAGCTTCCTTTGTTAACATCTTACACCACCGTGTTCACCATGACTAAGAAATTAACAGTGGTACAATACTGTTAATCAAACTACTAACTTAACTTAGATCTCATCAGTTTTCTATTGCTGTCCCTTTTCTGGACAGTGTGGGACCCCACCATGTGTTGAGCATATCACTTTTAGTGGCTTCACGGTATTCCTTCCAGCAGATGTTCTAGAATTACCACACTGTGCTGGGCACAGAGTAATTCTGCTCTTTGTTTTTTTAATGCTAATATAAAAAATACACTGGTTCACAGTTTTTAAAAAAAATTTTTTTTCTCAATTTTCAAGTCTTCTTTGAGGGTACAGGGTATGGCCATTTTTTAAGGGTGTTGATTCAAATTTTCCTCCTACAGTTTGCCTGTTCGCTTGAGTAACACATCACTGCACCTTTTCCACCATCCTTTTGTCAGCAGTGATGACCTTTGACTTAACCTAAAAAGGCATGTGCTATTTTAACTCCCTTCTTCTAGCCTCTTATGGCAATTTCCTATGAAGTCAGTCACATGCAGTTTAAGTCTGTTCTGGGACACGTCCCCCATGAGGCCTCCCTTCTCCTGTATGGGCTGGGTCCTCTCCAGCCTCCTGCCCAGTGGTCACCCTGGGGCTTCCCTTTGCTGTCACTTTTGGCGCTCCTTTGACCCTCTCCTGGGTTGGTACCTCAGCCTGTGTTCCCCTAGAAGGAAGAACCTGAGTCCCCGGCTTGTACGCAGGTAGTTTATATTGGAAAGTGACCCCAAGGAGCAGGAGTAGGAGCAAGAAACAGGTGGGAAAGGCATACAAGTGTGTTGTTGTGAGATAAGAGAAACTGTGTATGTTGGCCCCTGCCCCCGATTCCTGGCCTTTGTCATTTCCTCAGTGATAAGGGCACCAGGAGCATCTCTTATTCTAATATTTGGTCTTTTACTTCAGTTTATGACACAGAGCTCTTAAATCCCTTGGCATTTTCTGGGTGATGTCAGTGTCTTTTGTTCTAATAAGGTGACTGTGGGATTCACTTCAAAATCCCAGGGGATGGGAAGGGGGCAGCTAATACAATGGCCAATATAATTAATAAATTCATTGATAATTGTTAAAGCTGAGTAATGTGAACATGGTAGTTTATCACACATTCTCTCAACTTCTCCATGTTTGAAATTGTTCATAATAAAAACCCTTTTAAAAATGTGCCATTCCAGGTTAGAGTTGTTGTAGGGAAGATGGAGGAGGGCACAGGAAGGTTGGCATTGATGTTAGTGAATGACAGGAACTCCAGGCATCTCCAGATACATAATCGTGTTAAGACAGGGGAAAGAAATAAGTCCATTAAGAAAAGTGGACGCCTTCTTCCAACACCTGCTAGTTCCAGACTTTCCAAGGCACACTTGTCATTCACGGTGAGAACCTGTCGCCTTTTAGAAATAAGTCCCAGTGATTATTTCACCCCATTCTCCATAATTTATTTTAAAAAGGAACAGAGAGAATGAAGCCTGAAATATGTCCCTAAAGGAATGGAGAGGCACGAGGCCAGAGGGTGGGCCGTTTGTCTCAGTTCTCCGTGCATGCTCCGAGTGGCCGTCAGGGCAGGAGGGGCATTTACGTGGGATTATCTGAGCTGTTTGCTGCTGCAAAGATGGATGGCTTCTGAGTGGAAGCTCTTCTCCTCACAGTGACCAGGCATGATGCTGGCTAAAATAACGGTCAGCGAGAACATCACCAAACCCTTAATGAGAAGCTGTTGACAGAAAAATCGCTCTAACATTCATCAAAAAGCCAATAAATGTCGAGGAAGGGACTAGAGATGCAGCAGCTCATAAATTCCCTCCCTAGGGGCCTCTAGAGGGGAGTTTTAGGACAACACACCTCTTTTTTCCTGAATGTTGCTACATAAACTTCCAGAAAGCTTAGAACAGTTATGAGGGGGTTACCCTAATAATTTTGAGGGGCTATCAATAGAGAGTCGCTCCAGTTATTGGTCAGAGGATCCTGGTTTTGGTATCAGTGCTGGTTAGGCCTGTATTTTTGAGTCTTTAATGCCTTGTCTGTGTGATGTCACAGTTTGTAGTTAACTGAGAATCAAGACCCCTTCCAGCTGGGTAAGCGGAGGCTTTATGTAGATGATCCTATTTGCTCACCAAAGAGTCAAAACTGATTGTTCCCCTGGAGTCCCACAGTACTTAACACCTATGGTGTTCATTTAGAAAGCCATCCTATTGCTCCATGGTAACAGGTCCTCTGTTGTTAAGTCTTGTTTTCACTTTTTTATTAGGGGAGGGGATGTTCACCGAGTGGATGAGTTTGGGTTCCTGCAGTGGCAGACCCTGAATCAAGGACTGTGTGAAGTTTGTTATATGGAAAGTGATCCCAGGAAGCACAAGTGAGGGCACGGGCCAAGGTCAGGCAGGGAGGGAGAGAAGCCCATGAAGTTTTCATTAATGAGCAGGTTGGTGCTGTAGGTAACGAGGCTCAAACCCTGCTGAGCCTTCTGAGAAAACACATCTCAGAATTGTTCCCTCAGACAATGGGGGGGGCTGAGGCATTTATCCATGGACATCTGCTGTTGCTTGAGGGGTATCCCTGGAGGCTCTAACTCCCCCTACTTCTAGGTTGGCCTGTTGAAGGTTGAGCAAGATCCTGGATGCCAAAAATCACCTCAGATAGGCAGAGAGACAAGTGCTTGAGGGAGTCACTTAGGCTCCTTGAGCTGCTATCGCAAAATACCACAGACTGGGAGGATGAAACAAGCATTTATTTTCTCACAGCTCTGGAGGCTGAAAGCCGAAGATCAAGGTGTTGCAGGTTTGGTTTCTCCTGAGGTCTCTTCCCTGGGCTTGCAGACAGCCACCTTCTCTCTGAGTCCTCCCATGGCCTTTCCTCTGTACACATACATCCTTAGCGTCTCTCCCTCTTCTTATAAATACACCAGTTTTACTGGGTTAGGGTTTCATCCTTATGACTTCATTTAATTTTATTACATCTTTAGAGGCCCTTTATCCAAATACAGTCACAGTTAGGGGGAAGGCTCGGGCTCCAACATATGAATTCTGAGGTAGCACAATTCAGTCCATGATATGGGGAAGCTCTTACCTGTGGAAACTGCCCCCCACGGCTGCAGGTAAAATGGAGGTGGGTTGTGGGGAGAAGGGAGTAGAGGCGGGTCATCAGCAACACTGCTCCACATGTGCATTTCAGTTTAATCCTCCCCACCACTTAGGAGATAGGTGTTATGATTGTCCCTATTGTAACCATAAGGAAACTTAAAGAAGTTAAGCACTAGCCCCACATCACAAAGCTAGTCATAAGGGTTGGGCTCAGAGGCAACGCAACTGTCTGACTCTTGTCCCTTGATAACTATTTTGTATTTGAATTATAATGTAGTAATAATTTACCTCATCTTCTAGACTAAGTTCCCAGAGGGTCAGAGTTGTCTTATACAAAAACCCATTCTATAGTGCCTAACACAGTAACAAACAAGACAATTTTGGTTTCAAGTTCAAATAAGCATTTTAACCACTTTAATGGATTCTGTGGAGAACAAATCTATTTCATGCCTTCCCTCCTTGCTAACCAACCATATGTTGCATACATATATGTGAAGAATGTGTTATCACCAGCAATGCAATCATTTTATACCCAAACATGTTCCCGCTGTGCTGTAAAGAAAGAAAACAGTCTCCCATCCAAATACCAGGCCTGACCCTGCTTAGCTTCTGAGATCAGACAAGGTCAGGTGCAGCAGAAGGAAAGAAGGAGCTCCTACCCTTTGCAACAGCATGGGTGGAACTGGAGAGCATTGTGCAAAGTGAAATAACCAGGTGATGAAAGCCAAATAACATATGATCTCACCTATAGGTCGAACCTAATCAACAAAACAAGCGAGCAAGCAAAATATAACCAGAAACACTGAAATAAAGAACAAACTGACAGATCAGAGGGGAGGGCGGAGAATAACGGGGAAGGAAGGGGAAGGGTCAAATCAAGGAACATGTAGAAAGGACCTTGGACAAAGTCAAGGTGGGGTAGGATTGAGGGTGGGAGGTGGGGGTGGATGGAGTGTGGGGAAGTGGTGGTGGGAAAATGGAGACAACTGCACTTGAACAACAAATTTTAAGAAAGGAAAAGAAAAAAAGATTAAAAAAAAAAGGAAAATGGGCGTTACAGAATCCCTGGGTCTGATTTCACCCAAGTGAGCGGTGTGACTTCCTAATATTGACCTACATTCACAAATAAATGATTACAACTTCCCTGGACCTATAAAGAAAATGCTGATTCAATTCATGTTCTGCTCAGGCATTTAACTTTCTGAAACTGATTTAGAAAATGTGGTCTGAGAATTAAAAACAAAACAAAAACAGAAACACCTGTCTTTGTAATGTAGCCTGTGAGGGGGAGTGCACCCTGGCCACATTGAACTGGTCCAAGCAAGTCTGCTCTATGCTGGTTGGTGTCCAGGCTCTGAGAATTTATAAAATGAACAGGAATTGATATGGCCCTGCAGGGATGCACGCTTTTCTTGGGGGCGCGGGGAGGATGAGAGAGGGGACTGTGAATTAAAAACAATAATTCCATGTGCTTCATGCAGAACAGAAGTACAGTATCTGCAAAGTGATGCAATGTGGTGGTCACCTACAAGTGGGTAAGAGGGCAGGGCGCCTGGTGCAGGAATCGCAAGCTCATGCTCAGAGCTAGACTGAAGCTGGTCTTCTAGCTCTGGAGGCCAGGGTCCTGGCCTTCAAAACCCCGCTCCCCTGTGCAGGCTACATGATCTGACAGGTCTTCAGACTTCTTAGCCCACATTTCCTAAATCAGCTGAAAAAAGCTAAAAAGCAGAGCAGAACATGCTGCTTATTAGCTGTGTGAAGACAGGCAAGTCATTTAATATCTTTGTGTTTTTGTTTCTCATCTGTATAATGGGGTTCATAAAGCCTACTTCACGGAGCTTTGGTGAGAATTAAAGTATTAATAACTGCAAAATGCTTAACACACTGCCTGGCATGGAGCAATCACAACACAAATCTAAGCACTGATAAGTTCTAAATTACATTCCACTTTGATGAATACTACTTTTCTTTTTCTAAATTCCCAGAAATGTCTAAAACTGGGAATTACCATCTCCATACAGAACTCAGTAAATATTGAAAACATACAACATATGATGGAAATATTTCTTAAAAGTGTAATAAACAACTTGCAAATTGTTTTGTGGGTTGTCCTTAAACATTCCTGGGCAGAAAAAGAGATTCAAAGGAAACATCAATATAAAATCAGTCAGGACATCTGAAGGCTGCACGCTGGGAATATAAACCTTCTAACACCGGATTCACTCCCTTCTTCCCCTCCTCCCCTCCTCCCATATCCCTGTGGAACAGCCAACCTCCCTAACCAGGAGCCTTCATGGGCTGGGCTGTTTCATCCAAGATACTGCAGGCACAGCCTGGATGGCCTGCAGCTTTTCATGTTCTCTATTTGGGACCTGAAAAATAAGTTTTGAGCTCCAAAATATGAAAGAAAAACCCTTGTAAGACCGACTGAAATGTAGTATTTTATTAACCATTATGCATCAACTTCAATAATGTTGAATTTAATTCTTGCCTACTTGGTGATTGCCCAGAAATAATTGTTAATAAAATATATATTTTTTTAAATTTAAAAGCAAATCATTCAACTTCCTTCCCTAACACAAAGAATTATATCTACTGTGGAATTGGGGTGTATTCTGATGTTTAGTGGGATAGGAGGTGAGGCTTCCAAAAGTCTGAGCACCGAGGGCTGGGGAAGGCCCTGCGCCCTGGCCACGTGGAAGGTTTTAAGGGACGCCTGGGAGTGCGTGAGTCTCCTCAGTCCTCTCAGGCCACCAGCAGCTGCTCACTCCTCCATCACTAAGGCCCCGCTACTTCAGTAGACGCTGCCAGGGCGGCCTGTCACTCCCACCCTGATGCCGTAGTTCATGCATTTCAGTGCGCGGCAGAATCACTTGGAAATCTTTTTTTAAATGCATGTTTTTGGGGTGGTCCTAATAATCAGAATTTGTGATTCAGAGGTGTGGGGAGGAGCTCAGGAATCCGCACCGGGGCAGTCCAGGTCATCCAAGGGCACACTCGAAAATGCTGCTCTTGGCGCGGGGTGGGGAGGGGGGCGGTTCCAGAGGAAGGAGAGAGGGCAGGGTGCTGGCTGAGTGATGCACCTAAACAAAAGTAAGGGAAGCTGCCGGATTGGATAGAGAGCTGCCTGGTGGAGGGTTTTCCTGGCCATGACATCGGAGGGTTCTGGTGCGGCCTGAAAAAGCTCGGAGTGTCTGTGATGGAGGTCTTGTTCTCAATTGTAGTCCAGTGTTTTCAATGCAAAAAATAATATGCCCATGTTCTCCATTCATAAAAGAGCATTTTTCTATGAACACAAGCTTCTCATTTCAAGTTCACAGCAAATTTCCAAACCCAGTATTCTGGAACCCAGAATGTCAGAACTAAGAGGAAAAGTACTCAATGGTGTCAAAATGGTGTTCAATGGCAAAAGAGGATACATCACCTGCACACAGTGACACAGTTCCTTGATGGCAACCCTGGGACTCAGCGCTCTTTGTATTCAAAGTCATTCTTTTCACGAATCCTCTTTGGTAGGCCAAACTGTGTTGCCTTGGCTGTGCCACTTCTGACTGGCCTCCTTCGCACACTGGTCGCCTTTCTCTCCAGGCTGGAACTGCAATCTTCTCGCTAAGCGGAGAGGAATATAGTGCGGGAGGCAGGGGCCCTGGCTTCACAACCATACAGGTCCACGCCCACACACTGGCTCCACCGTGGCAAATGCCTTAACTTCTCCGAAACTCCTGGGTAGCAGAGGGGCAGGAAGCTTGACTGCGCAGGAGCTTAGGCTCATTAAATCACCAAGTTCTCTGGTGTAAAGTTAATCTGTCATTCACTCCATTTGTTTATATTCCCCGGGGCACAAGCCAGCCTTCCTAAAGGTGCCTAGCCCAGAGGAGCAGGAGTGAACACCTGTCTCATTTACTTTCTAGCCCCTGCACGCTGGGCTGAGCTCAGCACCGCTCCCTGAGAAGTACAATGGTGCAGGGAAAGACAAATCTACTAGACTTTCTGAAGGCAGTCACCACATGTGGTTATCAGAACATTTTCATTCAATGTCCCAGTGGAAGTGGATACAAATTAACCCCAAATTTACATTAGCCTTGGGATGAATTATATAACATCAGAGGGTGGGTTGCAGACTTTCTTCCTGGATGATTTTATACACAGGAGACTAAAGATTTATAGCTAGTCCCTGAGGGCACATCAGCTCACAGGCTGGGAGGGCAGCCCAGAGGCCCCGGGGTTGCATGGTTTGAGGGTATTGTGTGGCTCACACAGGCAGTGGAGACTTTTGCTTTTCATTTGCCCAACGAGAGAAATCGTGTTACTTCCTCGAAAGCCCAGAGAGTTTTTGTAACACCCTCTCCTCTACACTGTGTGATCTGGCAACCACCAGGGACTGCCAAAGCAGGCCGCCTGGAGAGAGGGTGCGGTGGGGGCCCACTGACAGCACCATTTTGAGCAAACCATGACAGCTCCATCCTTCAGGACCTGGTTTAGAGCTGCAGCCAGGTCGTTATTAGTGTTGTAGTAAAAACTCCATTAGTGGTCTGCCAATAATTCAAATCCGACATCCCTTGCACACTGGCAAAGTTCTGTAGCAAGGAGCACCCGGTCTATTATTTGGGTCGGAGAGCTGCCATGGAGCAGGAAAGTCATTTCTTTGGGCTGGCCTCCCACATGAGGCAGTGTGGCCAGGAGAAAGCGTGCCCCATGGCTTTATGAGGCAAGAAGAGTTTGGAGCCCTCATTCTATCCAGTGTCGGCTGGGACCAAGTGGGCCTCAATTACCCCCTCAAGTGTGAGATGGAGATCACTGTGGGACCTGCTCCACTGGGTGGTCCTGGTGAGGACTGAAGGAGAGTGTAGCACATGCCAGGCGTCCAGCAGGTGGTATCTCTGCTCAGGAGGGGCACTCTTAGAATACGTGCTTCCTCTCCAAGAAAACAGTGGTTTTTACCTTTCTAAACTGGCGAAGGAAAAAAACAAATGCCAATCTCAGTAGAAATATTTGAAAACACTAAGGCACATCATACCAAGAAATGCCTGCCCTGAGAGCCACTGGTTACAGCCACGCGATTCTCATCTGGGCTGAGGTACTAACTACATTTAGGGACACAGTCTACTCTTACGTAAGACAGCTGGGCAAGCTTGACGACAAAAGATTAGAACATTTCATGGGCCATAATGAACCAGAAGCCAGAAAGGAATATATTTAGGTCCTAATCCAAGCTCTTGGGCAGCTGGGGGCCTCACCTCCTGGTGCTACTGTGGATCCTCACCAGGTGAGCAGAGTTTGGAAGTGTGTCTGGAGCAGGTGATTTTTAGTGGGCAGGATGTGTGTTCTGCATCCTTCCCGCTTCGCTTAATGCTTTTATTCTCAGGATTGGCCCAAGGTGCCTGTTTCACAGTAGCTCCAATGGCCGGGACTTTCACTACAGAAACATCAGACACCCACTGTATATCCATAGTATGGGCATACAAAATAAAAAATTAGTTGACTTTCCCCCTCTCAGATTGCTTATAGTCGGTTATGAAGATAAAATTGCCAGCCTCTCTAAATACTTAATCTTTGGAACTCACATAAGATTATTCCAAAGCCATAGACATGATTATTTCTCAATAGAACCAAGAAGATGTTCAATGTGTAGAATATCTCATGGAGATTTGAAAGGGTTCATGCGTCTGGAGCAATCAGAACTACCTCCACTTTAGGGGACATTTCTGGTAACAGAGGCAGGTTGGCATCCTTCTTTCATGCCTCATTTTATCATCACCTTCTCCCATGTCAGGGTGATCCCTCACTTCGAGTCCTGTGAAGAACTGTATCGAATTCCAGGCTTTCTACCGTAGCTGGCCCAGCACAGGTGCTCACTACCCTTACATTAACACTTCCTTGGACTTTCCGCTTCATCCTTTCCCCATGGAATCATACAGACCACACACAGTGAGGCCGTTCTGAATGTTACAGAAGCAGTCTCTCTTCTGTTACCATCATGAGGCAGCAATGGTTGGGGATCAGATCGGGGAGGGGGTGTCCTGAGCGCTGCTCACGGGGCTCACTTGCCCTCGCTCCTGTCATATGGCGAGTTCACTGTGACCAGACGGGTTTTCTCTTCTGGATGAAAGCCTTGATGCCTTCCTGCCCATCCTGCAAGGCCACATTGTCCACCATGGTCTGGGAGGCAAGGTGGTAGGCCGTTCTAAGGTCCTGGCGCAGCTGCTTGTAGAAGGTGGCCTTGCCCAAAGACACCACAGGGCGGCTCAAGGAGGCAATCTTTCTCGCAATTCTCAGGGTCTCTTCCTCCAGCTGCTCTTCTGGCACTACTCTGCTGAGCAGCCCGTGGCGCAAGGCCTCCTGAGCAGAAATGGGCTCCCCAGTTAAAAGCATTTCTAAGGCGACCTGGGGGAGGAAACATGGGCACTTATTAAGGCACACTCCTCCTGACCCACTGCCACCTAAGTCCCACCCTCTCCATTTCATTCTGCTGAGATGGTTGGTGTCCAGACAACCTTGGCCCAGGTATGAGGAACAGATGGTCTTTCCTGGAGCAAGGAGAGGGCGGGACTCTCCGTGTCCCCTTGCTCCTTCCCCAGAGCTGAGCTCATAGCCCTGCAGAGGCAGGAGATTTGAGCTGCATCTTTCAAGAGCCAAGCACAGGCCAGCGGCCACATCTGATGGGATGAAACTAAAAACGCCACGGCAGTGAGGCCCATCGCCTCCCACAAACCAGTGCAATGGCTGCTTTCCAGAAGGACGGGCATGTCCAGAGAAGCCACCACCTCAGTTCTGATTTGAAAGAGCAATGTTGTCCCCCAAAGGAGGAGGAGTGAAAAGGAAACGCCTTCCAGGGACAGATGGGGGCGGGGGAGGCTAGCATGATTTTAACGCATAAGGAGAGGACACCCTCTTTCAACAATGCTCTCCCCCAGGTTTTCAAGGCCTGCAGAAAGCGGGGGGGACACCTTCCTCATTTTCTCCAGTTTCCTTGGCTCTATCGCCTGCCATGTATTGTGCTTCCATTCTGTAATTCTGCAAAGCTCAGCTTCTTGAAACTCAGATTTATGATTTAACACAGGGGTTTCCAGGTGCACAAGAAACACAGTTCCTCTCCACTCCCTCTCCCCTCGCTCAGTCCTGAAGCCCGGCTGGCATCTTTGCTGTGCCTTGAACATGCCAAGCATGCTGTCGCCTCAGTCCCCTGTACTTGCCATTCCCTGGCCTGCAGTGCTCTGTCCTCAGATGTCCTCATTCATGGCTTGTTCCCTCATCTCCTTCAGGTCTCTGCTCATACGTCACTTCATCAATGTGGTCCTCCATGACCACCGGTTATAGCTGCAAATCCAACCTCAGCCCTATCCCCCTTTCTGACAGTATTTTAATCCTTTGTACTTTCATCATTTAACTATATACTTTGCACATTTATTTGTTTATTGCATTATCTATGTTGCTGGCAGGTAAACTCGACTAGGGCAGAGATTTTTCTTTTTATTGTTCTGTTCATTTCTGTATCTCCAGCACCAGAAGAGTGCCTTGCATAATGCAGGCAACCTACTAAATATTTATCAGTGAATGACTGGATGAAGGCAAACGCAGTAGAAAGAAGTGACACTGTAGTTCTTTGGAAGCTAGGTCAAAAGATGATACTGCTTGCCCCGGCAGTGTGGCTCAGTTGGTTGGAGCAGCGTCCTGTATGCCTAAAGGCTGGGGGTCTGGTTCTTCATTAGGGCACATACCTAGGTTGCAGGTTCTATCCCTAGGTCGGGATGCAGATGGAAGGCAACCTATCAATGTTTCTCTCTCACATTGATGTGTTTCTCTCTCTTCCCACCCCCCCTCTCCTTCCTCTCTAAAATCAATAAATATATTCTTGGGTGAGCATTAAAAAAAGAGTAGTAAATACAGCTTCCATGTGGCTCTCTCCCTTGGTAGCTCAGCCTGAGAACCAGTTGTCTTGCTCTGAGGAAGCCCGAGCCACACTGAGAGGCCCCGCTAAGTGTCCCACCCGCGCTCCCTGCAGAGCAGCATAAGCAAACAAGCCTTACACAGATCGCCTCAGCTGCCACTCCCCCATCTTAAAGCCTTCCCAGCTGAGGGCGCCAACGTTGTGGAGCAAAGGCTGGCTTTCCTCACTGAGCCCCGAGCCCTGTCCAAATTACAGAGATGCGTGAGCTGAACAAATGACTGTTGTTTTAAGCCAGTAGGAGTGGGTGGTTATGCAGTGAAAGATAATGGGAATAGCTTAAACTATAAATAAGATATAGCACATCATCACAATCTTTAATTACTGTTTAAATTTCTATGTAGAGGGCCCCTGACACTTCAGGTGAGAGAGCATTTGGATGATGGTTTCTCAGTATTGGTGCCGTTGTATATTTTGGACCAGAAAATGTTGTGTGGGTTTGTCCTGTGCGTGGTGGCATCCCTGGCCTCTATCCACTGGGTGCCTGTAGTCTCCCCTGCCCCCAACTTGTGACAATCAGAAATGGCTCCAGGCATTGCCAAATGTCCCCAGGGCCAATATTGCTCGAAGTTTAGAACCACTGATTTAGATGGGTTTTTAAATCGTGAGACTAGATTATGCTTCTGCTATCCTGGCACCTCTCCCTTCTGTCCAAAAGACAAAGGAGGTCTTAATGGTATTAAAGCTGCTCACGGAAGAAGTTTTGACTGGGGCGGGGTCAGGGCCAGAGGCCTGGACTGAGTTCCTTGCCCACCTCCGGCTTTCTAAGTCACCCCCACCTAGTTTATGCCTCTCTGGGCCTCAGTTTCCCTACCTGCCTAGTGGGGTGATATTGTTTAGCAGAATGTTGATTTATGGGGACTTTACCCAGGCAGCTTAAGAAATGGAATGGCATTCTCTAAGAAAAAGAAAGCCTGCTATTTTATAGTGCATCAGCAAAATCTTTACTTTTTCTTTAAGTTTCTGTGTAGTGGGCCCCAGAAACTTCAGGTGTGAGAGAAGAAAATACCTCCTTTTCCCTAAATTAACTCCTACTGCCTTTTAGAGGGCACTTCTTGGGTCCTCCTAACAAGTTGATGATTTAACACTTCCTCCTCCTGGGCTAATTGCATTAAAAAATACAAAAAGGACTGGAGGCAGTCCTGTGTTAAGTCCTTAAGGTTCCCTAAGGTAGTGGGACTTGTGTCTGGATGTCCCTGAGGCCATTTGCTAACTATAGACCTTAAGGGAACAATTACACTCCTCTGAGTCTGTTCCCTTATCTGAAAAACAGGAATCAGACTACCATCCTCCTGCAGAATTGTGAAGATTAGAGAAAATGTAAGTATAGCTTTTACTATCGTGCTGGGCACTCAGTAGGCACTTCTTAAATGCAGTGGCTACTGTTCACATGCTTGTTCCTGCTGTAAATTTGTATGAATCTCTAATGTTGTATTTTAGGGATCGTGGCCCCAGAAAAGGGGTGACTATTTAAAGCAGAGGAGCCTTCCAGATCCCTTCCAATCCCATCTATGACAAGAACCATCTGGTGGCCAGGGCATGTCAGTATCAGCGGCTGGGATGCTGGAAGCCCCACCCAGAGAAGAACGAAGCTGATGGATCATGGGGCTAATTTAATTGGCTGGAAAAACCTGTAGATATTGGTGCACTGGATCTGGGCGGGCCTCAGACCCTGCATTTCTCCGGGCTCTCTGGCGAACTGCACATCAGCTGAGCAGCAATGCCTTAACACTTTCCGGCTTCGAAGTTCTACTCTGTTCTAATTAAACTGAGGAACCAGATTCTACAAATACACACGTTATCGTGGGTAAATAGATGGAACAAAGTGTTCCTACAGCAGAAAAATGAGTGATTTGGGATGAGGGCGTTCAGATCCTTCCTGTGCTGTCCCCTGATGCCAACAGCTTGAGGCACTGGCTCGTGTCTGAAGAGGGCCAGCTCTGACAGGGGCAGGGAGCTGCTGCCCCAGGCAGGTTGTTTATATGGTGCAATGAAGATGAATTATTTAACTCACACCACAGGAGAGAAACCCTTTACAAATGTGGAATATTATTCATGCCCAGGCTCAGTCTGGCTTAAACATAAGAGCTCTATGTCATCATTCCTGCTCCCATGCAGCTGTCCGTCTGTGGCACAGCCAAGCAGTTTCCCAAGGTGACCAGCAGAGGGTGCTGGTGACCCACATGTGTAGCCTTAGCCGGCATCAAAAGGGCTGAGCTTCCCCAAGTGGGCCAGTTTACAAAAGCACCTGCTTGCTTCCCTGTGGACGTGCACGGGGACCTATGCCCGACACCCACGCAGCCGACAGGCCCATGTGTGAATGTGTTCCTGTGGGTGAATCATGCAATGGTGACAGGTAGGTGTGTTTGGTCCAGGTTTAGATTTTTGTGAATCCCCAGTTTCTCTCCTAGAGTGAGATCCCAGGTGAGTTCTGCAGCCCAGAAACCTGGCAGAGGCCTTAGGTGCCAACAGGCCTTTCATCCCACTAAATTTCGATGATCAGTACTGCAACTTCAGTTCATTAATATTGACCTGAAACTATCTCTCTGCTTCATGCCTCCAAATAGGCCAACATTAACAAGCCCCACATGCAAGGACTTCTATACAGGGAGTCCGTGGCCTGTTAGGAACCGGGCCACACCGCAGGAAGTGAGCTTGAATGTAATGAGCTCGAATCATCCTGAAACCATTCCCGCCTCCTCCCACGGTTCTGTGGAAAAATTATCTTCCATGAAACTGGTCCCTGGTGCCAAAAAGGTTGGGGACCCCTGCATTACAACTCTGAAACACTTTTGGATGGCAGACCAGGGAAAAAAAAAACTGCAGACTTCAAAACCAGAATGCTCCAATGGACTCCTGTGATTCAGAGGCTTTCAGGGGATTAGAATGGCAGGAGCACAGATCAGGGATCTGTGTGGGACAATATTGGAGCATCTCTGCCCATCTTCTGAGTGGGCCTGACACGGCCAGAACTTTCTGTGGGAGGAGAAAGTTGCTTTGGTCTTACAACATCCTGCCCCTTAATCTCTCATGCTGGATAATTATGTAATGTGATTTTGAAAATAATTGGAATCACTGGGAACTTAAGTCCTATTTTTGCCACATTTTCCCTTTCTTCTCAAAAACTAATTTAAAATTTGACAAATATGATATAATGTTTAAGTTTTTAAGAGGCACTTGTAAGTCCTGATTTTAAAAGTTTAAGGAAAAATGGATTCTTATCCTGTCAGTAGGATAAAATGATTTATATATACTATCTATGTATTTTATATATATAATCATTATTTTTTTAAATCCTCACCCAAGGATACATCTATGGGTTCCAGTAGGAGATGAAGGGGGAAAGACAGAGAGAGAAACATTGATGAGAAAGAAACACCGATGAGAGAGAAACACTAGTCGGTTGCCTCCTATACACACCCAGACCGGGGACCGAGCTGAAACCTAGGCACGTACCCTGATGGGGAACTGAACCCTTGACCTTTCAGTTTATAGGACGGTGCACCAACAGAGCCACACCAGCCAGGTCAAGACAATCATGACTTAAAAGATTCAAATGCCTTAACATGGATCCTTCCAGAATGTCAGGTGTTGAAGGTGAGCAGCAGCTATAGGTAGGCCAACCAGGCAACCACCTTTTACTATGCAAAAGGCCTCCTGGAATGATTTGTACAATTATAAGATAGTTTATTAATAAGCTCTGACCATATGTTTGTAATGAATGCATTTTAATGTACTGGCACAAAGTAGGGACTTTATATTTTCTCTCTCTCTCTCTCTCTCTCTCAAGGTAAATGTGTATCCTGACAGGATCAAAACACCCGTTGGGCTGAGGATGTTTCAGCAAGCTCTGTTTGACAGGCCACTATTTGCAGTTGCAAAGCCCATGTTCAACCAGTTTTCATGTGTGTGCTTGTAGGTATATGATTGCAGAATCTCCTCAAAACACACACCTCTATAAAAGCTAATGAGGAAAGAAAGGAGTGCTGCTCTAAATATCTTGGTCCTGTGGCTTGATTTCCCTTGAGTCTCATTTCTTTTGTGCCCCAGGCATGTGAGCGACTGCTAATTTTTGTAGTAGATACTAAAGTGGATATTCTAGAGAGCAATTTAGTTCCCTACTTGCTATGGTATATGCCACCCGCCGCCCCATTTTTTAAACAGATTTCCAATTGAGAATGAGTATGAACTTTTTCTGGAACAAGGAACCCACTGCTTTCTACTTAAGAGATGATCAGTAAATTTTACTTTATGGTGTTATAGGAAGGGGGAAAGCTTTGTAAAGGAAATGGATTTCACATTGGTTAGCAATGACAAAACTTTTACAATGTGGCTCCTGGGGCAGCTTCAACATGCCAGGCACAGGATGTTCATGCTCCTGAAATATAACCATCATAAAGCTGATGCACTCATTATGGCAGCTACTTTCTGCCCTTTCTAGAATAAGACAGATTATCAGCAAACAATAAGCCAGCAACACTTGTATCCTGGACTCTTGATACTGGCACATGTCACCATGCTGTTCTATCACGGGCAATGTTTCAGTGCAACAGAACTGAGTGTCAGCTGCATTTCAAATAAAATTACAAAGAAAAAGTGTGCCTTTATGAAAACAAGCAAAAAAGTCCAAAAACCTAACGAGCTGTATTGAGGGGCAGGCAAGAGTGGACTGCATGAGTCACAAGTGAAGCACTCTGTGAGACGCTGCATGTTCCATCCCCCACGTGAGACATTAGGAGGAACACTGCGGCACATCCAGCCGGCTATGTCCTGTGCAGAATGTCCTGATTCAAGTGGGACTTTCACAAGTGAATCCCGGAACTAACCCTCAGGTACACTGGAGGGTTACAACTAAATAGGGGGCTGCAGGGGGCCCAGTTACCTTACTCGGCACTGCTCTCCCCAAGGCCACCCCCGGGGTGGAGCAAAAGAGCCCGATGTTCACACCCGGAGTGGCAAACGAGGATTTGTCACTGGCCACAGCAATGTCACAACTGGCAACCAGCTGACATCCAGCAGCGGTGGCCAAGCCGTTCACCATGGCGATCACGGGGACAGGGTGATTCTGGATCAGCATCATGACCTGAAGGAGCAAACACACCCCGTTCACATCCATGCAAGAGGGAAGTACAACATTAATGCTTGTTTCATATGACTTTCCTGTTTTCAGGGCACTTTTCATATCCATTAGTGTATCAGATTCTAGTTTTTTTTGAAAAGGACAAAAGAAGGCACAAAGAGAACTAACTTCCATTGAATATTGACTAAGAACCAGACCGTGCCATTTAATTCCTGCGAGCCCCAAGGGCAAGGAACACTGCGTTACAACTTGGACACTGGGCTCAGAGCGGAAGGACCCGGCCTAAGGCCTCAGGATTCGAGATCCGCAAGAGGTGCTGCGGGGTCTGAATGCGCATCTGTCCGACTCCCAGCCCTGGCCTCTTCGACGGTACAGCCCCCTCCTCTCCAACTGCTTCCCCAGCAACCCCAAAGGGGCACAAAGCTGATCTGATCTCTGGGAACAGTTCTGTTCTCACTGAGCCTGTGTGGGGCTCTAGTGTTAAAAGTCGGAAACTGGTATTTGGAACTTCCTTGAAAAATTAAGATGGAAAAGGGACTGGAAGGCAGTTTCTTTAGTAATTATTTCTAAAATTATCACCATCATATTCTCTCAATTCTATTAAAATGGTGGGGAACACCCTGCTGTCATCAAAATGAACAAAATTCCTAAAACAGTGCCATTGGCACAGACGGGGCAACCACATACTTGCTCATGTGATCCCCCCTGCGCCTCCTAAGTCTCCAGAACTTTAGTTTTGCAGCTTATGAAATAATCTGATTTATTTCTCCATTTCTTTATGACACTCCACACAGATTGTGTTGCTATAGTAATTTCAATTTATAAATGGTAGTTCTTTGAACCCTGGCAGCGAGGGAGGAGAGGCAGAGAGGAGCTTCCTCTGGGCTTGTCTCCCATGATGGCAACTCAGAGAAAAAGCACCTTCACTGATTTTGCCCAAGAGACTTACCTTTGTCCTTATAAGCATTTGATATTTGTCAGCTTTATTATAACCAATTACATGTATAAGGATAATGCCATCATATTCTATAGTAGTGGCTCTTGACTTTTTAGGGGGGTCACCTTTGAGAATCTAAGTGCTAGTGACCCTCCTCAAAGAAGAATGCACTTATATGGACCTGTACCCCAAACTGTTCATGGGTTATGGGCTTCATGTACTCTGGGTGAGAAAGGGGACGGCCAGTGGCAGAGCTCATTCACAGTGAGCTATAGTGACAAGGAGAAGGATGCAAAAGAACTGCAAAGAAAGGCAGATTTGTTTTAGCTCTGGGTGTCACCTGTCTGTTACCCAATGAACTTTATTTATGAAAGATCAACTGACTGAATTGAGTTGAACAGTTTGTCTTCTGTTTGCCACTTGTGAAAGGCTAGGATTTCAAACTACCTGGGGGGACACTATTTAGGTAATCCAGTGTCTATCAACAACATTAAAAATACTCATACCTTTGATCTAGGAATTGTACTAACAGGTACTAACCTAAGAGAGTAAAAAGCTCTCTGGACAAAGATGTTCACCAAATCATCACTCTATAATAATAAAAACAATAAATAATATAAACATATAGAACTAAGGAGATGGCCATATTAACCAGACTATATTTATTTCACAGAATGCTGTGTTCTCATTAAAGTGAAATTTTCCAAGAGAAATATCAGCATGATAGTCTGGGCCTGTGTAGCAGTCTAGAGGCAGGTGGCTGGGTTTGATGCCCAGTCTCGTCACTTACTCACTGCCTAAATCCTCAGTCTTCACATATGTAAAATGGGTATATAATAGTACCAACTTTATAGAACTTGAGTACCAACTTCACAGAACATAAATTAATATGTCTAAAGTACTCACAATATTACCTGGAACATAGTAAGCATTCAATGTTATACAATTATACAATGTAATCATATCTATGTATGATTATTCAGACAAATACGTACATGTAGAAAAATTATTAAAAAGAAAGGTGGGGAATGTTTTTGTTAATTATAGTTTTCTCTGAGTGGTATGATCATGGTATGGTATCAATAACTTATTTTTTCCCCTTTTATTTTTCAAGGTTTCCAGAATTTTCTATAATAAGAATTTACTTTTATAATTAGAAAATTAAAAAAATACTTGTAAAGTTAGAGAGGAATTCAGAGAATAAAGCAGCTAGAGAATTGATCCCTTAATAGTCAAGAATTGATTATTCCTTCTATTTTACCTCCTGAATGAAGTAATTTTTGGGCGGTGCAGTCTACTCCAAAATGTGACATAAATTTAACTGCCCTAGCCTCATCAAACAGCATTGCTGAGGGTTCCATATTATATCCAAAAGCCAGAGGTCCTATCCCATTGTCATTTCTGTGGTGGGGTGTGAGGAGAAAGAGGAGAATCTCTTCCTGGGCTGGGGTTTCCATTGTCACACTTCACAGGATAAAAGAAAGCAGGCAAGGATAGGTGTCTAGTGAAAGCTGCCACATCAGCTCACAAAGGTTACTATCCACGCTTCCATAATCAAGCATTTATTCTCATTCTCAATTTGTCCTATTCCTGATTTTTAACAATTAACTATCATGCTGTACTTGTGGTCTATAACAAATCCGTTACAGATTTTAGATACTAAGCTAATTCAGCTCTATCTTCCTTTCTGAAATCAAATTTTCTCATGCATGAATCCAACATGAAATATCTAGCTCATTCTGTTCCAATCTGCCTGTTGATTACACTTGAAAATCGAAATCTTGCACAAGTTTATGGCGCCCATATTTATTCCGACAATTTGATTTTTGTAGAACAAAAATGTTAAAGAAATCAATGCATTTTCACTCCTGTGTGACTGCATCAGGGCTGGGTCTTGTTTAGGCACTGGGTCTTTTTCAGTGAGCTGGAGGCATCCAGGGCTTGGAAGCTTCCACAAAATCTGGTATTTATCCTCTGAAGGAACCCTGGTTCCCTGTGGCCCTTCGGTAACCCGTTTAGATCCCAGTTTATGTAGAACCCTGGCAGAGTAATAAAATCAGGTCCTTTTGGCAGCGTGTAAGTGCCCTACTAGTTATCTTTGATGATTTTCTATTTTGGTCAAACATACTGGGTATTAATAGGAAATTAACTTGTAAAGCACCAAGCCTTGGCAAACACAGGAGCAGGATGTTACATAATCATTAATGTGAAACAAAAGACCTAAGCCTCAGTTCTGGCTTGTTTTCTCCTCTCTATGAAGCCTCAAGTCAATTGCTTTTCCTATCTGTCCCTCATCAAGTGAGAAAAATATAATGTGATCCCCAGAAGGGTTTCTGGGAAATGGCAAGGAAAACAAACAATGGTCAAGAAGGTATCTTAATCACCTTCCAGTCCCCACCTCTTGTTGCTCACCTCTATCTTGTCTACACAGTGGGCATCATTATCTAATTGTTGAATCATAAATGACCCAATGAATGAGTGAATAAGTCAATGAATGGTGAAAAATTAGGCTAAGTTATCTTAGGGTCAAGTTATGAAACTGTTTTTATATGTCTTGTTTCTCAACTAGACTTCCATTTTCAGTTTGGTAGGAAACTTCTTTTCTTCTCTTTCCTTAGTATCTTGCAAGTACCATATACATAGCAGGCGCTCAATAAATGCTCCAGAAATGAACAATGTGTTACATAAAGTTGGATTCTAAATTTAATTTTTGATTATCCAGGGGTTAATACATTTATAAATCATCTCAAAGTTTTTGTTCTTCCTCCTCTGTATGTGTTGGTAGGTTCCCTTCTTAATATGGTTAAGTAGGCAGAAGTGAAAATGAAGAGGGTAATTTTCCTACTTGGAGGTGGTGATCCTAAAAGTTGGTTGAAAGAAGGATTTGAAAATAATTTTAAAAATCATTATTGTTATTCCATTTATGAATGTTCTCTCCCATTAACAGAGTTGTTTTAGTTAAAAAATTTTTAAATTATATTCTTAGGTTCTGTCTCTCTAAAGATGGACATTTCCACACTGTACCTCTTAAGACAGGTAGACTGAGACATATCCATGATGCTGGAAATGGCGACTATCAATCCAGCATATATTTCACTTTCTCTGGCATATCACAATATAAATAGCAAACTATGGTCGCATCTTACAAGTCAAAACCAAATTGTTGCTTGGATGAAGGTTTCACCAATGACCACAGAGGTTTCAGTAGTTCTGCAGTGGTTAGGTCTCATAGATAAAAACTTGCCTTAAACTAGAAGCATGATTCCATCTATAATATGTATAATTACCATTTTCAGGTTTGCAATGCCAACCGTCCTCCTGGCTTACCTCAGAACAGGTTTGAAATACTTCAGAGTGATATTCTGGACCTTGTTCATCTGTCAATTCCTTTAAATCATGTCCGGAAGAAAATACAGGCCCTTCAGCTGCAAATATTCCCAATTGGGAAAAGAAAATAAAAAGGTATAAAAGCAGGGCTGGGGAGGTCACTTGTTCGTCTACTAAATAACTTCAATGAACAATTGTATCGATGCATGGACATACAGAGAAAGTTAATGGCCCAATTTGAAAAGAATAATTACAGGTAACTTGAAAAGTTACAGGCAGTATTTTATGATGACAATTCAAAGTGAGGTATCTGCATCCTGAATGGTCCTTGGTAGAAACCAATCAAGACATACAATTACGCAATGGAGAGGGCTCAGGAGCCAGGGTGAGTGGACTTCTTTCAGAGTTGTCCCTCCAGTCCCGCAGTTTTGTTTTTGGACTTGGTCTGGCCTGAAAATATTGAATCTTATAGGTTCATCAGAATCTACCGTGCCTTTGGCAGCATCCTTGTCACTTAGTCTACAGACAAGGGACACCCATGTGGGTTGCAGTCAGGAAGGTCAGAGTGTGAAGAGAATCCCTTTATTTTTACATGGAATCTGTCATTAACAACAACAAAATGGAATTCCACTGATAAGCTGATAACACTATCTCAAATATTCCTTTTGTTGTGGCTCTTTTGATAAGCAATATTATTCCCTTTAAACAGGTGGGGAAATTGTGTTGTTCAGAAGTTAGCTGTTTTTATTGCTTATGGGTAACATCTCTGTGGTTAATGAATAATATCTGTTCTATTTCTTTTCCATTCACCATATAAGACAGTTGAAAATTTATATTCAACCATAGATAAGGAGGTAGCATTCTGAGTATCTGCTTCCAGAAATACTGATCCTTAATTTCTACAACAAAATAAAGTACATCACAGAGCATCACTCATTTTATTTTTTTGTGGATGATTCAAGATGCTGAGACTGATATTTATACCGTCACTATTGTCACTACATAATTCAGGAAATAAATTTTATTGGAAAAAAACACGGAAAGAAATGAGCAAACTAGGGCATCCTTTCTGGTACCACTGAAGACTATAGCTATTGGTTGAAAGTTTGGTAGGAACAGAAAAGACAAACCAATCAATGCCTGAGCAGCATGGTCCCAGCTGATGTGATAGGCTACCCAAAGGATCAGTGATTAAACCCATCTTATCAGGCCCATGAGGAAACCAATCATCTGATTTTGATGGGAAGACCAGCTCAGCCTAGTGTTGCAATGTTTCATATCTGACAAAAAGGAAAAGACTTATTTTCACTGCACAGTAATGTTTGCTGTAATTTCTAATTAACAGCATAGGAAAAACTAAATAAATAAATAATGTCAAAAACAGACAAAAAAAAATTGTTAGGACCAACCCCTCCACTACTCAAGAATTTCTTTTTCTTTTTGCATTGTTTTACCTTTTTATTGTTCTCCCATATTTACCCTGCTACTTTATTTCATGGCTATTTTGCCATTGCTGAGCAATACCATGTGCACCAACATTCAATGAGAGCCCACTTAATCTCTACAACAGATTTTATGTGAATGGTGCCTTTGTAAATTTTTATAGGGCTTAAAAATGTTATCTTCTTTTTTTAATTATATTTTTCCAATTACTACTTATCCCCCTTATACACATCCTCCTCGAGAGTTTTTCATAATTAGTGTTCTTGTACAGGAGCCTCCAAACAAGTCTCCTGTTAAGTGAAGGAATGCCCCAGTTAGCCATAGAATTTTGAGAAGTCTTCTGGGTACTGCAGAACCCTAAGGATGGAGATCAGATAAGTACCTGAAATGATAATGACTTTCAGATCTTTGCTTTCAGCTTCATAAAGAATGTCACTTCGGAGAGAGCTCAGCATCGCCAGCGACAGCACGTTTCTCTTCTTCGGGTTGCTCAAGACAATGCTCCTGCAAATAACATTCTATAATTACTGGGTCATGCACCAGTCAAAACAAGTGAGGATACCTGCAGTTCCCTTCTAATTTTGGAGCTGTTTTTTAAAATACTAGAATAGGGAACTGCTGTTGCTTACAGGCAATTGAGATGGTCTGTAAACCCTCTGGAATTACACCTAAGTCAAAACAAGGAAACTTCCTAAACTGCAGGCAGGGTTTTCTCCTCCCCTTGATTTATTTCTCTTTTTCTCCAGGTTTGCTATCAGAAACATTACCCTGACCTCCACTGAAAGGGCGAGTCAGAGTCGTTTCCAAAATCATTGCCTCCCACCCCGAGAGGCTGCACAGTCTGTAAGACAGTGGCAGGAGCCAGAGCCATCTGACACAGAGTGCCCCCTTCAACTTTTCCCCATGGTCCTTCAGGAAAAATAATAGAAGAGCCAAGAATACAACCTGCCCCCATCTCCTCCCACCCACCCACCTCATGGAACAGGCAGCCAAAGTGCAGCTGCTCATACACACATGACATTTTTCCGTCTTCTATAGTGGCATCCTGTAATGCTGCACGATAGTTCACGCTGTGCAAGAATGGAATGGTTCATGAAGAACGAAAGGACAGAACCGTACAGCAACAGGGCTCCTTTGGACATGTCATCTCACTAGAAGCTGGTATTCAAAGGCTTGCTTGCTATTTTAAGTATGCCGATTAAAATAACCTGTGTTGTCTTCTTACCGCTTATACACAGAAAAGTTGTCTTTTTGCTGTTGTACGGAACAAGCAGCAACAGTAACCAGATTGTTATGTATTTTATATGTTTCCCGTCAGTCTCCACCCATGTTTTCTGTCTTCCTCATTCTTTTCCGAATCTGATATTCCTACCGCATGTGTCAGCGTGGATTCTCCATAGCCTCCTGTGCCACTGTGTTCTGGAAAATCACTTTGATGACTAAATTTCAGTACAATACCATTTTCTTTGGAATATCTTTTCCGTTTTGCTGCCACATTTAGGTGGCTGTGATATTCATCATTGTTTCTCATACATGCTGTGTCCTAGGTACAAAAATGACTTGCAGCTGATGTGTTGATAGACTTTAAAACCTGGACGGGGGGCGGAGGGGGATGGTAGTGAGAAAACTGCTGATAAACCTTCGAGTAAAATAATGAGTGTGCTCGCTGTAGCAGACTTAAAAAGCTGCCATCCTACCCATGACATATGTTGAAATTAAATTCTTAGGCCTCAGGCAAAATTATGTAAAAAGATGCCAACCCCCAAATGCCCGAGCTGCATGGCAGTGTCTGTTCACATGCGTCCCATTAATCCTTTGACTTGTGTGTAACATGCCCTGTCAAGAGTGCTCTAAGCTGCTGAGTTCACTTTTCAGTCCAGTACAACCAGGCTTCCGTTCCTGCCACTCCAGTAAAACTATTCTCACCTAGCAGCTCCTAATTGTCTAAACCAAATCCAGTGGCCATTTGGATTACATTCTCCTTTTAGAAACCCATTCGTCCTCTGCAGGTTTTTTGGCTCTTCTCTCCTCCTTCCATAAGCTCCTAGCCTTCTGCTAACCTCTAAATGCCAGTCATTTTCAGAGCTCCCTCTTGTGCCTAGAGCAGTACCCAATTCATAGCCCGCCCTCACTGCATGGCAGTGGTGTTGCAGAGAGGAACAGCTTTGAAACAGGACACTCAAAGCTTGACTGAGTTGTTGGATTTGGGGGCTTCCTTCCTACTAAATGAGTCCCAGAATGGATGATGGGTTGTTCTAGTCGTCCGTCCCCCTTCCTGATTCCTGTTTAACGCTGGAGAACGCAACCAGGCCTCCTTTTGTCATGCGGCTGCCTTGCCACAAGTCAGGCTTCTGACCAGAGGGAACCAGATTTGCAGTAGAACTGCCCTTGAAAATGGGCAGGACGGGTCCCTGCCTGGGCCTTGAACTTTGGGGCACAGTGTTCTGGGCCCTCTTCCAGGTGTGCCTGTCCAAGCAAGCAGGAGATCACTAAGACAATGGGATGTGCTCATGTGGAATCACCTCCCACTTCCAAACCCTGCTGCAGCCACTGCAACCCTAGAGTTCCCTGGCTGGGCAAGTGGGCACCTCTACGCCCCAGGGTGACTAAGAGGAATTGTCTATAGGGGTGAGAGGACAGAACGTGGGCATATGGATGAGGAATCTGTAGACCTATGAGCCAAGCCCCTAGAAGAAAGGAGGGGTAAAGTGGTAGGAGGAGGTAAGTGGAGGCTGGGAAGAAAAAAAACAAAACTGTAGGCCTCTGGCTGGTTCTCCACTTTTGGGGGACTCCTAGGAACCTGAGGATTGTAAATTCAAACATGGCCTTTGAGGTTTTATGAAAGTCTACTTGTCAGGGCAGGAGAAGAAAATATGTTTAGCATTTTGTTTGATCTGTAACTTTTAAATACTTGGATATGCTATTTGGGCCTTCCCTTGGGCCCCTGACTGGCAAGGCAAAAGTCAGGATCGGGCCTGGACGGGGCTTGGAGCCCTTCAACCTTTACTTCATTGTTCAGTTTCCGTTGTGTGCATAGATAAGGTTTTAAGAGTTTTGGGGTTGTTGAGCCAAAGGGCAGCGCTCAGTACTTGTGTCCTTCGTTCTATTTATTGTTCCAGCACTTCTGGGTGACGGCCAAGGCGCAGCTCCGCTGGGTTTAACCTGGCCTTGGAGCCAGATAGAGTTCATGAGGCACAGTACCCTCTAGTAAAAGGGTTTCTCAAAGGCCACAGCAGCAATGGGGCGACCAGCCGAGCTGCCCACACTTAGTCTGAGAGTTCAATGACAACCCAGATCGAGTGCACTAAGAGTTTAGGGGAAGCGTGGGACAGTCCCACTTGAAATCCTCAGGTGTGAGTCTTGCAGAGTCCCAAACGCTACTGTGCCCAGGCAAGGGACCGCTTTAAGCACTATATCCACTATTCCTTCCGTCTGGACTACCCCACGAGCCGGACTGCACAATGACGGATAACCGGGAGTCCAAGGCGGTGGGGCGCTGACCACTAACGGGGCCCTCGTTGGACTCCGCACGGGGCAACCGGGGACGGGATCTGGCCTCCTCTGCCCACCTCTCTCCTCGTGCCCCGACCAGTCCACCCCAACCGGGAACAGCCCCACACGCCTGCGGGCGCAGGACGCTTCCGGAAGGCCAGGGCGCCCACGGCCCGGCCGCTGACCTGATGCCGTCCCGCTGCTGCGCGCTGGTGGGTCGCTGCCCCGGCTCTCGCTGCCCGGCCCAGGGCGGCCCCTTGCTGCAGAAGCCGGCGGCGAGCGGAGCCCACAGGCCGCGCCGAAGCCAATCGGGCACCTTGGACCCGAAGGCCCGCCAGCCCGCGACGGCTGCCATAGCGGCCCCAGACGCGCTCCCGAAGGCCGGAAGCCTTGAGGTCGCGAGCGCTCCGAGGGACGCAGGTGTGAGTCCGGCCGCTGCGCTTCCGCCGTGGGCAGATCCGGCTGGAGTTCCCAGTCCTAGAACTCGATGGGACTCTCCACGGCCAGATCCCTCCTCCGCCGCCCTGCCTCTCGGCCCGCCACCCAGCGGCCAGGGATCCTCCAAAGAATGGCCTCCAGCACGGCCCACTTCTGAGACACCCGACCCGGGACCCTGGAGCCCCGCCCCTGACCCTCCACGCCCAAACACGCCTACGACGCCCCGCCCCCTGGCGCTGCGCTCTCAGGCTTCGGGCCCGATCCCGCCCTCACCTCGCCCTCGGGCCACTGGCGCTCCGACCCGAGAGACCGGCGGGTGGAGCCTAGGGTAGAGGACCAGGACTCTAAATCCCCCGGCGCGCTCCACGTTTGGTGTGCCGTAGGAGGGCAAGATAAAGAGTTAAAAAGGCGAGGAGTGGTTTGATCTGTTCCTTTCTGCACCAACTCCAGTAGTATGGTGGTTTGCCTAGATTAGAAAAATGAATGTCATCAGGTGGGGAGTGGTGTGACTTACGGACGCCACTATGTTGCTTCACCTCACCCGCGGAAAAATGCGCAGGCCTGGCAGATAATCGCAGCTCAGGAAGTGAAGGGTATCCCATTCAGGCGATGACTTTTGAATGTTTTGTATCCTCCCTTTGAGAAGCTCTGGGATCTACATATGTCCCTTGGGTTTTTCAAATGCACCCGGGAGGAAATGATAGCCCCTTTTCAGGATCTAAGTGGGTGCCATGGGACGAGCCATATCCTGCAGTTAAAAGCTTAAGTATGATGAGAATGTTCTCATTCTCAATTGTTAGCTAACTGCTTCCTGTATTCGTTAAATTCTCAAAGTCTGGAGATTTGCAGAACACTTAGAAGATACGGTCTTGGCCCTCAAAGATCCTATAGTCTCTAGGGGAGACACCATGCCCAAGATCCTCCTCACCTTTTACACTAGGAGTTTTGCAGCAGGGATGTCCAACCTGCAGCCTACAGGCTGCATACTGCCCGGGGTGGCTGTGAATCTGGCCCAACACAAAATTGTAAATTCCCTTAAAACATTATGAGATTTTGTGTGTGTGTGTGTGATTACATGTCACAATGTATTTAATGTGTGGCCCAAGACAACTCTTCTTCCAGTGCAGCCCAGAGATGCCAAAAAGTCGGACACCCCTGAAAGCATACTAAAATGGGGCCACTGAGATTGCACAGTGGCTTAAAATAGTCGCACATTGGGTGCCTCTGAGTGAGGCTCTCCTTAATTCCCAGCTTCATAATCGGACAGAACACATGTACAGAAGGATATTTTGAAATGTCACTTGATATCACCACTACCACTTCATTTCCTTGGTCCTTGCTCCATGCAGGCAGCTGGGGTATTCTCATTCATTCCCTCCAAGGAAGAAGGGGTCTGACAGAATTCAGAGCAAACGGGGCAATTCTTGGCTTTTGAGTTGTAAAATCGCGGCAGATGGAGGTTGGAGAAACACCAAACAGGTGTACTGGGGTGGGGGTGGGGGGGCAGTGGTAAGCGAGAACAAGGCTTTCTGCCTGAGACCAGAAAAGTCCCCCAGGTTTGAGGGCAAGGATAGGGCAAGTAGGCCTTGTAGGAAAAACCAGAAAAGGGCAACTGTTGTAGGATTTGGAAAATGGACAGACCAAAGCCTCCTGAAGACGTGGGAATGGTGGGAAGCCTCAGCTAGGGCGGAGGCAGGCTTGCTCATTTTCCTTATTAGAACCCCAGGGGAGTCATGAGACTCCAGGGCACATGAAACACCTGGGCAGATAGGGCTGAACACCTCCCAGAATTTCACATGACCCACTGTGATGCTGTGACAACAGGCTGGTCCCCGTCTTCTGAAAGGGGCTCGCAAACCGCTGAGAGAGGTCTGGACCTGAGGAGGCTTTGAGGTGGAGAATGGAAGATGGCTTAGCCAGTGCGGATCAGCAAATTGAAGACAGAGGGGGAATGAGGACGCCTTGGATGGATGCCATGACCTGTAGGTAGGCTGAAATATGGTGAAGTAACAAAAACAACAACAAAACAAGTCTAAGTGGCTCAACAACAAAGCCTCATTTCTTATCTCACTATAGGGCTACTGCAGATCAGCGGAAAGCTCTGTGCTGGGCCAGCACTCTCCTCACCCAGGGACCCGATGGAGCAGCCTCTGTCTGGAAAGTTGGCAGTTTCTATGGCAGAGGAATGTTAAAAAAAGGAACAAGGAGAAGCATGAACTGGCACTTAAAGCTTCCTTCTGGAAATGCCACGTTTCACGTGCCAAAGCAAGTCACGTGGCCACACTTCTGGTGTAGGAGGAACTATAACCATCTCATATATTGGGAGGAAGAGAGCTGGTGTCTTTTTGAGCAATGACTGCCTAATGACTAGCACAACCACCTAAGCACAGGACCTTGGTGTTATAAACTACTCATAATTATTACTCAGGGATCAGAGATAGAACTCTGAACTAGCTTAGGTTAAGTTTCTGCCAACAAGCAGAAGTTTGAAACAGGGGTTAAGCTCATAAATAAAATGAAGTTAAATTTCTGGAACACCTGAGTGTCTGCCCTGAGATTTATATTTATCCTCGTAGTCATGTCAAGTGCTGCAGAAGAGGCAGAGCATGCTACCTGAGGCTGCACGTCATGCAGAATCATAAAGTCTGATCAGAATGATCGCCATCATGGTCCACCATCAGAGGATGTTTCTCACCTTCGTACTAAGATTAGTACAAAGTATTGACAGTGCTTTCTCATGGGCTCGGTGAGTCAGGCTCATCTCCCTATAAGAACGATGGGGAACAGCGCAGTTAAACAGAGAGGTGTTGCTCAGAGGATGGCTTGGGCATGCGCTCAGCGACAGATCTGATGAGCGAAGGCTATTTAGAGTTCTTGGAGGCTAATACCTATGCTTTAAAAAAGACACCCTCTGGGGTTTTCTCTTTTGGCTTTTAAACTTCTTTCGTGAGTCGTAATTGTCCATGACAGTGTATGGAACAATCTATGACAGTGAATGAAATTTCAAAACTCCTGGATTTTAACGAGGTTTTTGATCAATTTAGTTGACCCTTCCATCTCTGGGGCACATGGCAGTCAGTAGAAGGAAGTAATTTTATTGTTTGGGCAATTGCTTTTGGAGTGCTCAGTTACTTAGAGTGGCAACATTCTGGATGGTCCAGAATCACATCACTGAAGTCATTTGTCAAAGCTACCTGCTTTTCTGGGATTCTAGTCTCGATAGGCTCAAACTTGCATCTTGGATGTTGTTGTTATTGGCAAGAATGGATGGTAGATGGAGCTTTCTGACATTAACTTTTGCTTGTTTCTGTTTGTCTTTGTTAAATGTATTAGATATGTATTAAATTTTAAGAATTGGGGCTGGGGGTGAAGGGACTGCTTTATTCCAACACAGGAGTTGATGAACATGAAATGTTTTAGGAACAATACCCACCTGCTTTCACATTTTATCTAATAATAATAACAGCTACTCTTTAAGAAGCCCCGCTCTGTGCCAGCGCCCGCACGCAGTGCTTTACGGATGCCAGCTGAGGATCACTTGTGAGGCTCATCATCCCACTTCAGAGGGGCTCTGTCAGCCCTGCTCACACTCAGCACAGTAGTTTTGAAGTTGGAACAGGGCTCTGGAGGTCACATGAAGGACAGTGCTACGCTGGTAGTTTCCATGCTCATCTACATTCCTACACCTGCTCTCCCAACCCTTTTATGTCTCCTTCCTCCCCTCACTTCTTCCAGAGCCCGAAGCTCTGGCCTGAGAGTGGAGGTACACAAACAGCAAAGTAGAGGTGGATGGCCATGCATTATCCGAGCAGGAGTCGATATCACTTGCTGAAACCTTGTCCAGCCTTCAGCAGTGCAAGAGTCTTTTCATTCTGTCTCTTTCTCCAGGCTCCCTCTGCCTCTCATTAATTTTGGTAGGGGCTGCTCATCTTTTTTCTCCCTTGTTCAGTGCCCTTCTAATCTAGTTTTGCACGTGGGCCTTCTCCCTGACACAATTTGACTTCCAGGTTGCTAGCAGGCTTCTCTCTGCCTTTGATTTATGTGCTCCTCCCCTGCGCCACATGTCTTTGCTGTACAGATGTGTCTTCGCTACTTTTCACATTTCTTCTAAAGACCCACAGATGCCTGGCAGAATGTTTCAGACATAATGCAGAATAAACGACAGTTCTAGGGAGCCTGGTGTCTCAGGCTTGATGTAGGAATGAAGGAAGTTTCAGAACTCCTCAGGGTGCAGAGAAAGAAAAGGGCAGATTTTTAGCTGCATATGGAAAGGTTTTTGAACTTTTTATTGATTTCAGGTCCTTCTAAGACAGGTATGTAAAGACACAGTGCAAAGGCACAATGTGAAAGATGCGGGAGCTACTCTCAGCAGAGGCCCCTCTGGCATCCGGCTGCCTCTCCAGTGCCAGCTTCACCCTCACTTTCCCCACATCTGTCCCCCCTCCTCTCCTGAAAAAATCATAAGAGGGTCAAGCACCCATAAACCAGGAATGTTTCAGATGTTCATTGTTCCAAACAGCTGCAGATGCTTTTCAATACCTGGTTTTATTTTATATTTTATTTATAACCCACCAGTTAATATCCAAATGCCTTTTCCAAACCTAAAATTTCTTCACGAAGACCCATGCCTTCAGCTGGGTGAACATTTAGAAACTACATGGGGCAGGGGAGCAGTGCAGGATGAAATTAACTTCCTTCTGTTTTCACTTAGCGCAAATTCTGGAGTTTGTTCAGATGCAAACGAATCCAGTAATTTTAGGTAAAGATATGGAAAAAGGATATAAACTGAGGAAGAGGCGTGTGTTTCGTGCATTAGCAACGTTTTGAATGAACTTGTGAAGTGAAAGGCTCCTCATAATGGCGTTGATGGAGACTCTCTAGAGGGCAAGGAGTCATTTAGGAGGTGAATGTCAAACATGTGATCCATTAAATGGTGCTAGAGGAAGACAGCCAGGCGGAGGCCACAGAATCGTGCAGCTCGACACCACGGTCCCGTGGCGAGGTAAAACCCGCGCCAGGCCCACCGCAGCAGCGGGAACCCACTGGTGCCTGTCTTCACACCCCTTGCATCTGCACCACACCTTCCAATAACTGTAATCCCAGCGCTCCAAGAGAAGATTACTTTATGCTTCA